CAATCTGACATTATAAAGACATGTGGAAGGCTTTACCTGGAGGGTGAGTCTTGCTTTACAAGGTCCAGAAAGATCAATGGGTCGAACAAGAGAAGTGTAGTTTTCAGGCACCAAGATTCTTGTTTTGGCTTTGGATGAACAAGCTGTCTTCCAAGCATCCGCAAACGCCTGAGTACCATTTTCACATTAACTTCCGACACACAATGATCACTGTCTGTTTTTCCTAATTCTTTTTCAAATTCAAGAATTTTTTGGATTTCAAGATTTCATTTTTACAGTAAACAAACAAAAAAAAACGATTCTTGATAGTTACTTTAGTGTCGTCGGTGAAGCCATTGCCTTTGGCCCCGAAATGTCCGACGTGGAGGAGCCGTTCGGATCTGGGTCGTGGTCGGGTCGAGCGGGACTGTCTTCTCGGGAGCTTAAGGAGCGACTCGACCGAATTCGCGTTTGCGGTTAAAGCGAGTGAGAATACGACGACTGGTACTAGTAATAAATAAAAGACAAGAATATTACTACAAGAATAGCTGCTCATGTTTTCGAGACAATTTTCTTGAAATGCGAATGGGTTTTATAAAGTTTAATAAAACCAAGATTTTACACAGGAAGAAGAGGTGGGCACGTAGAACTGTAGAAGAACATTACTAATAAACTAAATTAAAAGGAGATGCATAAAAAGACTTATTTATAATCGAATTGAAACAAAAATTATAGATCTAAAGAGATTCCTTCTACCTTCTTCGGATTTAATTTTCCTGATTGTAGTGATGATGAAATGACGTTATGCTAAACCGGAAAGCAAAAGGCGATAAGCTTCGATTTTCACTTTTCAGATATTTAGTAATGACACTCTCTGAATTCTTTTTCCATACATTATTATTGATTGATTAATGTCGGTAATCAATCATTTAATCAAAAATGCGACAACGTCTTTATAGTTTGATGATGGGGATCTAGACCATTTCAGTAAAATCGAACACCAAAAAATATCAAACGAAGAAATTGCTAACGGGATGATAAGATCTAGATTTAAGACTCAAAAGAGACAAAGAAGTTACTACTTGTTGATCTGAGCAATGGCGCCATCGAAGAAGATGACATAAGAATAAGATCCTTCAAGTGCGTATTCTCTCGCTAATTTCAAGTGATCTTGTACAACACCCGCCAACGAATTACAACTACCCACCATTTCTCTTCTACTACAATCGCCGATTTCAATATACAAAATCTAGCGTTCCGAAGCAAGAGCTTCGATCTCCAAAAAATAGCTTGGAATTTTGTCCAACTTAAGCCACTCACCGTCCATGAGTGTCCTCCAGGTCCATGAAACATTGATCTTTATGCATGAGATAGATTAAGCATTCCTATGCACTCTCACGTACGTGTTCCTCTGAATTTAATTGC